CGAGAGATCGATTTCTACCCGCCGATTCAGGCGGGTAGTGTAGACTTAGCCTTATTTTGGTTTAGGTTAAACCTGTTCCCAGTTGATTTATGCTAAACTGAAATAAGGTTGGTTTAAACTGAAATAAGCACATCCACACAGGCTTTTGCACTGGCTTAAGTAAACTAGTTTAAAATCCTGCCTTTAGTTAAACGGTGCAAGTTTCTCATGAAGTCAAGTCCTTACAGTTTTGTTACCCATACCTTTACTTTGCAAGGACTGAGAAGACTGCCTTTCCCATACACATCCATATTATGTTGTAGGGGAGGGATATTTGGGGGGCTGCTTTATAAGACTTGGTGAAATTAGGAGGGACAGTCCCTGTTGCCAACTGCAGCTTATTCCATTTCATAGTGGTTTATACCTGATGCTCCCCTTTTTGCTTCCCTAACAAATGTGGAAACATAAATGTTTGACAGGTCAAGGTTTGGTGGAAGTATCAGAGTAAGTACTAGAATAGAACCAGGAACAGTGCTAAGACATTAATTTTGACGAGTTAGTTCTATCCCACCTGTGATGGTAAGGACAGCAATGGCCACCTATTTAGTCTTGTTTAACTAGTAATAATAAGCTAACAAATTGTGTGGTAGTTTATTAAAAAAACTTCACTGTAGGCTACGTGTTGTGGCTGGCAAGGAATTAAAAAAAATCCTTTGTGCCTTATATCCATGCCCATCTACAGTGGACTACTCTTGGGGGAATTCTGCCCCCCAAAATTAAAAATTCGGCACCAACAAAATTAAAAATTCTGCGCACAATATTTTAAAATTCTGCATATTTTATTTGTTAAAATAACGCAGTATAATCATGCTGTTTTCAATTATTTTAGTAATTTATTTAGACCAGGGGTCTCAAATTCAAATGATCACAAGGGCCACATGAGGACTAGTGCATTGAACCGAGGGACGCATCACTGACACCCCCCCTCGCTGCCTCTGGCCCCATCCCCACTCCACCCCTTCCATTAGGCCCCGCCCCTGTCCCACCTCTTCCCACCCCTTCCCTGCCCCATTCCAACCCCTTCCCCGAAGTCCCCACGCCAACTTTGCCCCCGGGGGTGCAAAAAGGGTGCAGGGTGCGCCGGGGACTCAGGGCAGGGAGTTGAGGTGCAGGTGGTGTGCAGGGTGTGGCAGGGGGCACAGGGCAGGGCATTGGTGGGTGGGGTGCAAGAGGGTGAGGGGTGTGGCAGGTGGCTAAGGGCAGGGAGTGCAGGAGGGGTGTGGGATGTGGCAGGGGGCTCAAGGCAGGGAATTGAGGTGTGGGATGTGGCAGGGGGCTCAGGGCAGGGAGTTAGGGTGCAGGAGGGGTGTGGGATGTGGCAGGGGGCTCAGGGCAGGGAGTTGGGGTGTGGGATGTGGCAGGGGCTCAGGGCAGGGGGTTGGGGTGCAGGAGGGGTGCAGGGTGCGAGCTCCAGCCCGGCGCCGCTTACCTAGAGCAGCTCCGGGGTGGCAGCGGCGCGCACTGGGGCCAGGGCAGGCTCCCTGCCTCCCTGGCCTGGCCTGGCCCCCGGCCCCATGCTACTCTGCTCCAGGAAGCAGCTGGAACCGTGTCCCTGCAGCCCCTGGGGGAGGGGGGGCCCCTCAGGGTTCCGTGTGTGCGCTGCTCTTGCCGCGCCTCTAGATACCTCCCACAAAGCTCCCATTGGCCGCAGTTCCCTGTTCCCAGCCAATGGGGGCTGTGGTGGGCGGTGCCTGGAAGGAGGCAATGCAGGTGCCCTCTGCCTCCTTCCCCTCCCCTCTGGCCCTGAAGGGCCGTGCTGCCAGCTGCTTCAGAGAGCGGCGCGGGACTTGCAACGCCACAGGGGACAATCCCCCGGGTAGGCAGAGGGGCGGGGAGCTTGGCGGGCCACTCGCAAGAGCACCGCGGGCCGCGTGTTTGAGACCCCTGATTTAGACTATAATACAATGGATAAAGAATGGGAGTGGGGAGCATTGGAGGAAATCCCCCAACCCCTTCTGTCTAATAGTAATGTACCTAATGTTGACCCTTTACTTCTAGTTATTAGTCAACAAATGTATGCAGCCATATGCTCAGTGTTACAGCATAGGCAACTGAAGAGCAAGTGAGGGCTGGGGACTCAAACTCACAATGTATATTAGCTACTGACCATCTCCAGACAGGTCAGTAGCAAACAGTTCATGGAGCACATTTTGATAGGAAATTTTTTCAGTCTAAAAATTTAGACCAGTTCTAATCACTAAAGCACCATAAGCATTTATAAGTCCACACTGTCCTTTACAATAAGACTCTTTTACACCACTCTGGCAATGCAAAGGAGCCTTAGAATGTTTACACCTGTTTTATACTCCTGGGGAAATTCACTAAGAACAATGGGAACAATTCACTAAGTAGGCAGGCTGCTACATTCTGTTCTGCCCCATGCCTACCTCCTCAGACACACCCCAAAGCCTTGCCCCTCCACGCCAAGCGTGCCGTAATAGCGAGTGCGAGGGACAGAGTGTCTCTTTCTCTCACACACATGACTGCCAGCCCTCCCGTCCCAGTGGTGATTTATGTCTCTACCGGCTGCTCCGGGCGCCCACACTGACCTGCCTGCACTGCTGGGGAGGGGCGTGTGACTGGTCTTGCGGCTTCCCTTTGCTTCTCCATCAGAAGTCATTTTTCTGTGAGGAAGCAAAGAAATCTGTGGGGGCCATGAATTCTGCGCACGCGCAGTGACACAAAATTCCCCCAGGAGTAACTGGAGTCAGAGGAACTGGATGGGCACTGGGTTCAGCAGTCTTCTATGGGAAGAGCAACAGCAGTAGCCAAGGAGTTTTCACAAGACGTACCACTATCATCATCCATTCAAAGTTGAAATTAGGGCCCTGTCTACATGAATGACATTTACATTGTTGTAATGGCATCAATATAGTTATACCTGCTGTTAATTTTCTTAATTTGCTGTGGACTCTGGATTTTTGTTTCTCATTTTCTGTAGTCATGGATTGTTGGTTGCCCTCTCTCCTGCTCTTCAACTACCCTGCTTCATCCTCCCAGACCCCACCACCATGCTTCTCTCCCTTTTTGCAAAGTCTCTTCCACCTCTTCACTTGTCTCCCTCGCCCTTTGTTCTTACTCCAACAATCTCTTCTCCAAAACAAATAGAAACAAATATGTTAACACACAAGAGAGAAAACTACCATGATCATTTAGTAACTTGTACTGCTTTCCCATATCCATTCTGTCACTTTTGGTTTGGTTTGTCTTTTTAAATAGCAAGCACTTTGGGGTAGGGGCTGTCCTCACCGGGGCCTGTGCGTGCTGCCACAATACAAATATGAATAATAACATTGAAAGATGGCTGTGAATCATGGTGCAGGCCGACCGAAGGGGAGTGAAAGCCCCCTCCCCAGCAAAGGGTGTTAATTATAAAGTCACTTAGGTCTGGTTTATACATAGTTTTTGTACTATTTCAGTTAGGGTTATGATTTTTTTTATTGAAATAGTTATGCTGGTATAACCTCTATTGTGGATGCACTTATATGGGTATTTAGGTGCCTCATAGGCCAGATTTACATGACAATTTTTTGCTGACGTAACTATGTTGGTTAGGGGTGGACGAGGGATAATCTGTGACTGATATAGCTGTACTGGCAAAACCCCCTAGTGCAGACAGGTATATTGGCAAAATTATGCTTTTGCTGGTATAGTTCATTTTGCTCAGGGAAGCTGGAATAAGCTATACTGGCAAAATGTTGCCACTACCACCATTCTTGCTAGCAAGCATGCCTGTGCCTCTGGACACTCAGTACTGCTTCCATAAAAGGGTCCATCTCCATTCAATTTCTATTTCTTCCACACTCAACTTTAAAGGTGAAACTCAGCAGTTCACAGAAGCCTCGCATACTTGTGTGGAGTAGGGCTGCAGCATTTGGAATTGTTCCTGTCACTTTCAGTGGGAGGGGAAGACTTCACATAGGCTATCATTCTGCATCCTGCCAAGTTTCATTTGTAAAGCTGGGTGTGGAAGAAAAAGAAACAAACTAAGTTTCATTTGCTATCGTGACTCATTTCAAATGTCTGACTATTCTCTTGGAGATACCGTAATGCATGTGTGTTGTGAGGGTGTTTCAGGTCGTAGTTCCTGCTGAATTCTGTAGCAGAATTTTGCAAGAAGTTTGATCAGAATTAATGTGGGATGGGTAAAGTGAAACTGTGTGCCTGCATTTAAGTGTGATGACCCAGAATGGATGTCTAGTTTCCAGTTTGCACCAAACTCCAAGTGAACTGGCCTTCACCTCTGTGAGCCAGCCTTCCATTACTCAGCCCCCGGCAACAGGCTTATATACATTTTGTCCAGTTAGTGCGAGTTTTACCCGAGTAAGAACTGCTGCATCTCAACCAGGGACTTCGCCTTCTTCAGCTCACTTAATATATATAAATAAAATTACACCGAATAGTTTCTAAAGTTCTCCTCTGTTGTTCTAGCACTGATACAGCTTCACTGATCCTAGCAATTGCAGGAGCACTAGTGTAGACCATGCACAAGGTGTTTTTGCCAATGTGTTGTCTAGACTTTCTCTGATCAGAGTTAAATGATGTGGTGGTAAAAATCTCCAGTGATAGCAAAGTTGCTAATTCCCCACATGTGGTGCTATAGTAGGGTTACCATATGTCCGGTTTTTCCCAGACATGTCCGGCTTTTTGGTAATCAAACCCCCATCCGGGGGGAACTGCCAAAAAGCCGAACATGTCCGGGAAAATACCGGCCGGGCACTTCCCCTCCCGCGGCTGCTCTGCTCCTACCCTGACTCTTCGGCTCTGTTTAAGAGCCGAGCTGCCCGAGCGCTACCGGCTTCGGGCAGCCCCCTTGCCTCCGGGCCCCAGCCGCCGGCCAGACACTCCCCCCCGGGGCTCCGGCAGCGCAGGGTCCGGAGGCATGGGGGCTGCCCGAACCCGGTAGCCTTCAGCCGACAGCCAGACACTCCCAGTCCCGATTCAAGCCCAGATTCAAGCCAGCCCAGTGGCTGGTTTCGATTTTCTACGTTTCAGCTGCTCAGGGTTCTATCCCCAGCGCGAGCCGCCCGTTTCCCCGAAATGACGTCGATGGGAGGGCGTGGTTAGAACGTGGCCCGCCCGGGCCTGGGTGTGCAGCGAGCGTAGTGCGCCCGCAAGGATGGGTTTTGTTTACGGCCAGCAGCTGAGCAGTGCCAGGCCGCTGTGTAGAGCTGCGCGCTATGGAGGAGCAAAGAGCAGCTGCAGCGGCAAATGCCTCTGTGTGCTGGCGTGCTGCCGCCCCTTCAGGATTCAGGTAGGTGGGTGCATGTCGCCATTGCATCCATAGGCGGTGCAGCAAGCCAGGGAACTTCTTACAGAAGAAAGCAGCCTGCAGCTCTCTTTAGTCAGAGTGCACTCGGGGCTAATGCACGAACCCATCGCCTTTTCCCCCCCCCCTTATTCCCGCAGAATGAAAGGTAGAGAGAGAGCCCAGAGACCGCCTTCCCAGAGCCACCCCTACTGCAACTCCCGCATTCGGCAGGGCTGCGTTGCATTGAAGGATGTGTTTCTTTAGGGGTCCCAATTCCACCTTCGTTGGACACCCAAAACTTCCATGAAGCTAGTGGGGGTGCTCAAGGAATGCAGGGGAGGGTCCATGTTGCTTTTAAGGGAAGGGCTGTTATATTCAACATTTGCAAAATAACGGGTGCAGTTATAAGTATTTTAGAGGCTTGCCTGCATGTGGGGTGAATTATGAGGCCATCTTTGCTCTTTCACCTGGGGGCTGGACTGTGTGTGCTTTGTGGTGCCCTCATGTAAAGAGTACTTAAAAAAGAGGGACTGATTGTATGGATTTGTGTTTAAAAGTGGGGGGTCTCGTTTAGTGCAGTCTGGAAATGAGCACATTTTCTAATGGAGTTGGACTCCTTTCCACACTGGGATTAAGTCTTTTACTGTTGCACCAGGAAGCTGCTTTTTGATCTCTCTGTGAACTGAGAAGTTTTTTGTTTAAAAAGTAGAGTGAATGGTCTCTGCACTTTGGTAATAGCTTATCCTGGTAATGTTTGTTTTTCTTTTAATCCTTTTCTTGGCTGTTTGTTCCAAAACAAACTAGCAGTTTTGCAATATTGCAAAAATAGATAATTGAGGTTTATTGCAAGTGGTAAAAGGTTTCCAAATCTCCTGGAAAATATGTTAGTAGGAGTCCAATGGTTTTCCCATGGGTCTGTGAAAACAGATACATTGGACTCTTCAGAGCTGAATATAGTCTAAGCATAGGCGAGGGAGCCAGGATTTGTAGAGTTGTATTCCCAGCTCTGATATTGACTCACTGGTCTTGTCTACACCAGGGAAATCTTGCAGAGATTTCTCACTATCGCTTATACTAGTTCAGCTCCGCCAGCAGGACTGGGAAACCTTGTATAAACAGCTACCTGCGTTTCAAGTACCCTGTTGATCTTTTCTTCGCTGGATCACATCTTGTGGTGCTTAAAGTGTGATGGGAACTGGTGGCTGTTCTACACTAGGATTCTCAAAGTTGCTGTCCCCCTTCCTCCCCCTTCATGGTTGTAAACCAGAGTTAACAATTTGTAGTATTTCCCTAATGGAGACAGGAAATGCTAGATAAATACAAAGTTGCTTATTAGAGTGTAACTCTGGTTTATGTACACAGCCATCCTCCTGGAGATAAGACATGCTATTGCCCTTGTTACAGGGAGGAAGAGGCGATAACTTGGAAATTAAAAGGAAAAATCCTATTCTGTTACAATGATAGGATAACACTACTTTGGATAATATGTAGGACCAAATTCAACACAGGTGTAAAAAAGTAATTATTAACTTAAGGGAGGTCCATGCCACATATGATAGTGGTAAGTTTGGCTTGGGAGGGGAGGAGGAAGAATGTGAAGCACAGATCTATCTTTTTAAATAAACCCACAATGGCTCTTGGCTTGTTCTGTGACAAAGAACTACACCATTAAATTAATCAGATACACATTTAATTCTTGTATTTAAGTGGTGGAGCTGCAATACTGTGAATTTTACTAGTACACCTCTACCTCGATATAACACTGCCCTTGGGAGCCAAAAAATCTTACCGCGTTATAGGTGAAACCGCATTATATTTAACTTGCTTTGATCCACCGGAGTGCGCACCCCCCCCCCAGAGCACTGCTATATCATGTTATATCGGGTCGCGTTATATCGAGGTAGGGGTGTATTATCTTGTAAAGTGTTATAAGTTTTCAAGGGGCTTCCCAAGATGTGTTATTAGACAGGTACTTGTCCTGTGGAGTTTATAGTCTAAATGGGATGAATACAACTTAAATAATTAAAAGACAGGGTAGGAGCATAGAGTCGTAACTGATCTGTGGTGGATCAGGGTTTCCCACATCTAAAGCCCCATTCATCCAGTAATCTCAAAGGGACAGATGTGATACCTTCACTCATACTGAGTAGTATCTTACTCTGTGACTAGTTTCCTAGATTTCACGGTTAGAGCCCTGTGAAAAATCACAATTTCACGACTGGGTGGAAATAGTGAACTTAGCCCAAGACATGCTGTTGGCAAAATTGTGGGAGGTGGAAGCGGGCATCTGTGCTCTCTGGTCTCAAGCTCCGTGCAGCTGCTAGTTTGCATTCTAAGCTGCAGCTGCGGCACTGGCTACTTGTGCCTCGCATAAAACCAGCTCCCAATTCTTCTCTCGCCCACCCCGAACTACTGCTCCAACTAACGCTGCTGTTCACTACAAGCTATACCCAGCATAAGATCGATGTGCAAGGATGCCCACTTCCACTTCCCTGATGTTGGAAAAATCATAGCAGTTCAGGAGGGACTTGGTGGCCGTGCATATTCTGTGAAAATGGATACTTTACTTGTGCTGCTGCCTGTGAATTTAAAAAATAAATCTGTGATTTTTCACAGTTCTTACATGATGTAAGGTCCTGGCATGGTTTCAGAGCTACCTGCACCTCTGTTCCTTTGCTGTCTCTCTGAGTGCAGCCCCGCAAGTGTCAACCTTTACTTCTCTATCATGTGGTGGAATTCCATGATAGAGAATTCTATCATGGAATTCCATGCACCAGGCTCTGAGCTACAGTACCCTGTGTATTGACTGTGCTCACACAGCGGGTATGACAGGTCCAGCACCTGCAGTTCTTCTCTTCAGGAGTGTATGTGTGTATAGTGGTCAGACAGCACTCTTAAAACCAAATTGTTGTTTAACAGTAGGAACAAAGCATTTAGAGAAGAAGACTTTTGAAATAGTCTACATAAATGTCTATCTTATCTAAGACTTACCATCCCTCATGGTATCTTCTGCAGACACTCCAGCAGGTCCTGAGGATTACTCTGATTTTTCCTCTTGAGGGAGTCCATTTTTCAACTCTTATAGTGCTTTTCAATCTTCAGGTTCCCAGATCTTGGCTCTACTCATTAAAACCAGTTTTGTAAATTGGCTGGAGTCAGGAGATTGAATTGTCAAAATTAATAGTTCGGGCATTGTCTTTTAACAGCTCTTAAGTGTTTGCTGAGAAGTGGCTTATCTTCAGCCATTTTGATTCCTTCCTGCTTGTTTTCCTTACCGCACCCATCTTAAACTAAACTGGTATTTATGCAGTAAACATCTCAATAAGCAGGTCAACACACAGTATTCATAATTTAGTGCAGAGCAGCTCCAAATCAGTCATAGGTGCTATTTAGCATATGTAGAGATATCACAAGCTAGTTTTTCATCAGTAGATCTCAGCAATTCCCAAAATCCCTGTGAGACTGGGAAGTGCTATTACCCCCATATTACAGATGAGGAATTGAGACACAGAGAGGCTAAGTGATTTGCCCAAACTCACACAGAAAGTCAGTGGCGAACAGGGAATTTAATCTGGGTCTCCCAAATTCTATGCTAGAGCCCTAATCACTAAACCATCCTTCCCGTCCTTTAAGAACTAGTAACAAAGATGATTTGTGGTTTAACAGGGGATCTGAAGGCATCTGTCTGCCACTAACTGCTTTTGCTTTCATCTTTCCTTATTGTTTTGCTTTCCCCTCACTCATTGTCTTCCCTGCCTGAAAATCAACTAAATATCTATCTAGTATTTATTTTTTTGCATTTTAGTTGTGCCTGGAGCCCTGACAGAGATTGAGGTCCCGTTGCACTAAGCACTAAATACACAGCGTAAGAGACGTGACCTGCCCTGAAGACCTGACAGTCTAAACAGACACAACAGATAAAAGGTGGGAGAAAGGAAGATGATTATCCAAGTTGTACAGATGGAAAGGAGAGACTAAGTGATTTGCCCAGGGTCACACAGGATGGCTGTACCAAAGCTGGACATTGAGCCCAGATGTTCTTGAGTCCCAGTCCAGTGCCTCAACCTCCAGGCTGTTTTTCATCTCAAAATCCCTTATGCCCCCTATCGCTCTGATTTCTGTGACCCCAACCATCCCTCCCATTGTTAATTTCCCAGATAACACCTAGGACAGTGGTGGGCATTTTGCTGATATTGACCATCCGCAGGCACGGCCCCCCCGCAGCTCCCAGTGGCCGCAGTTCGCCATTCCAGGCCAATGGGAGCTGCGGGAAGCAGCGGGCTGCAAGGACAGCTAATAGGTTATGTTGTGGTATGAGAAATGTCCAAATGATGTACCTCTTTCCAGATGAATCTTTGTTTAAAACTGAGCTGCAAAGAAAGTGGGCGGGGCAAAAAGTAGGGTTATGCTCAGGAGGGCTGGAACCATTGTGTAGTGGTGATGCTGAGAGCTATTGAACCAAACTGTAAACCCTGTATATGCTGGAATCCACTTCAAGCCAGGGGGTGCAGCAGCACCCCTAGTTCCAGCACCTATGGTTATGCTATTATTTTTCTTGTTCTGTTTTACATTAGGAATTCAAATTTTGTCTGACTTGGAAGAGTCTGTGGTGACTGGAGAACTAGTAAAATGGTGTTGCAGGATTTTTAGTAGGGCTGTCAAGTGCTTAAAAAATTAATCGTGATTAATCATGCGATTAATCGCACTGTTAAACAATAATAGAATACCATTTATTTAAATATTTTTGGATGTTTTCTACATTTTCAATATATTGATTTCAATTACAACACAGAATACAAAGTATACAGTGCTCACTTTATTTTTGATGACAAATATTTGCACTGTAAAAAAACCAAAAGAAATACACCTCTAACCCGATATAACACAAATTCAGATATAACGCGGTAAAGCAGTGCTCCGGGGGGGGCGGAGCTGTGCACTCCGGCAGATCAAAGCAAGTTCGATATAACACGGTTTCACCTATAACACGGTAAGATTTTTTGGCTCCCAAGGACAGCGTTATATCAGGGTAGAGGTGTAGTATATTTCAATTCACCTAATACAAGTACTGTAGTGCAATCTCTTTATCATGAAAGTTGAACTTACAAATGTAGAATTATGTACAAAAAGTAACTGCACTCAAAAATAAAACAATGTAATATTTTAGAGCCTATAAGTCCACTCAGTCCTACTTCAGCCAATCGCTCAGACAAACAAGTTTGGTTACAATTTGCAGGAGATAATGCTGCCCACGTCTTGTTTACAATGTCACCTGAAAGTGAGAACAGGCGTGTTTGCATGGCACTGTTGTAGTCGGCATAGCAAGATATTTATGTGCCAGATGCGCTAAAGATTCAGATGTCGCTTCATGCTTCAACCACCATTCCAGAATACATGCGTCCATGCTGATGATGGGTTCTGCTTGATAATGATCCAAAGCAGAGCGAACCGACGCATGTTCATTTTCATCATCTGAGTCAGATGCCACCAGCAGAAAGTTGATTTTCTGTTTTGGTGGTTCGGATTCTGTAGCTTCCACGTCAGAGTGTTGTTCTCTTAAGACTTCTGAAAGCATGTTCCACACCTCATCCCTCTCAGATTTTGGATGGCACTTCAGATTCTTAAATCTTGTGTCGAGTGCTGTAGCTATTTTTAGAAATCTCACATTGGTACCTTCTTTGCGTCTTGTCAAATTTGCTGTGAAAGTGTTCTTAAAACGGACAACATGTGCTGAGTCATTATCCGAGACTGCTATAAAATGAAATATATGCAGAATGTGGTTAAAACAGAACAGGAGACATACAGTTCTCCCCCAAGGAGTTCAGTCACTAATTTAATTAACGCATTAATTTTATCGAGCATCATCAGCATGGAAGCATATCCTCTGAAATGGTGGCCGAAGCATGAAAGGGCATACGAATGTTTAGCCTCTCTGGCATGTAAATACCTTGCAACGCTGGCTACAAAAGTGCCACGTGAATGCCTGTTCTCACTTTCAGGTGACATTGTAAATAAGAAGCAGTCAGCAGTATCTCCTGTCAATGTAAACAAACTTGTTTGTCTTAGCGATTGGGTGAACAAGAAGTAGCCTGAGTGGACTTGTAGCCTCTAATGCAGGGGTCGGCAACCTTTGGCATGCGGCTCGCCAGGGTAAGCACCCTGGTGGGCCAGGCAGGTTTGTTTACCTGCCGTGTCTGCAGGTTCAGCCGATCGCGGCTCCCACTGGCCGCAGTTCGCTGTCCCAGGCCAATGGGGGCGGTGGGACGCTGCGGCCAGCACATCCCTCGGCCCGTGCTGCTTCCTGCAGCCCCCATTGGCCTGGAGCGGTGAACCGCAGCCAGTGGGAGCCGCGATCGGCCGAACCTGTGGACGCGGCAGGTAAACAAACCGGCCCGGCCCGCTGGGGGCTTACCCTGGCGAGCTACATGCCAAAGGTTGCGGACCCTTGCTCTAATGTTTTACATTATTCTGTTTTTGAGTGCAGTTATGTAACAAAAAAAAGATACTTTCATGATAAAGCAATTTCACATCACACAGGTACTGTAGTGCATGGAAATATACGATTTCTTTTGTTTAGCATTTTACAGTGTAAATATTTGTAATAAAAATAATATAAAGTGAGCACTGTACACTTTGTATTCTGTGTTGTAATATAAATCAATATATTTGAAAATGTAGAAAAACATCCAAAAATATTTAATAAATGTTGATTGGTATTCTGTTGTTTAACAGTATGATTAATCGCAATTAATTTTTTTAATCACCGTTAATTTTTTTGTTAATCGCGTGAGTTAACGGCGATTAATCAACAGCCTTAATTTTTAGTTTTTATTTTTATTTTAAAAAATCTCAACCACTTATTGAAAAAGCCCACTTATTTAACAAATTAAATAATTTAGTAAATGACTAACATTTTAGATAGAATGTCTTTAATAAAGATTCAGTACCCTTATTCTTTCAACTAAAACACGAACTAGTGAAATACATGCTTTGAGACATACAGCAGTTTTTCCCACAATACTGGGGAAGATCAGACTGGATAATCTTGATATTTCTAAGGTACTAAACAAGCAGAAATTAACTTGATTATTATTATTATTTTGGCTGGGAGGAGAGGTACATTTAGCATTGGAGAGATCAGAATCTTTTGGGTCATGCACTTTCATACACGATAAAACAAAAGAGCACAAGCCTAATTTTTAATAGAATCTTTGCAAGTCACATTAAAGAATGCAACACAATGCTGAGTTGGATGTGAATAATTAATTTAGCTGTGAAAGGACTAGAATTGTTGCTTCCTTTTCAGGGCAAAAAAAGTTAGCTAAGTTATTGTTGTAGGATCCTAAAGTCATGGTCATCCCTAGACAGAGGAAAAATAATACTTGGCACTTAAATTGCGGTGTCTGTACATCCTCTTGAAAATGAGCACTAATGTACTGACTGATACTGCAGGTAATAGTGTGAGTATGGACTGTCATGCATGTGCAAGTCATGCTGCTGTCATGCACAGGATCAGGGACTATGTATTTGGGATTGGGCTGCCCGTGGCCCAGCACTTTTTTCAGGTGGATAGCTCTGTCAACACACATGTGGGATAACAACACAATTTCCCTACCGGCACATGCTTTCCTCCTACCCCCATGTCTTGATATTCCTTTACTTTTTAGCTTGTGTGTCTGGGTTGATTTTTGAATTACGGTATTACCTCAGAGTTACGAACGCCTCGGAAATGGAGGTGATTCGTAACTCTGAACAAAACATAATGGTTCTTTCAAAAGTTTACAGTTGAACATTGACTTAGTACAGCTTTGAAACTTTACTATGCAGAAGAAAATGCTGCATTTAACTGTCTTAATTTAAATGAAACAAGCACAGAAAGTTTCCTTACCTTGTCAAATCTTTTTATTAAAACTCCCCCCCCCCCCCTTTTTTTTAGTAGTTTACATTTGAGACAGCACTGTACTGTATTTGCTTTATTTATTTTTTTGTTTCTGCTGACTGCATACTTCCGGTTCCAAATGAGGTATGTGGTTGACCTCTGGTGTTTATAACTCTGAGGTTCTACTGTATTGTGTGTGATGTGGAAGTGGGAGGGTGGACAAAGCCAGTCAAAGAATAGTCGTGGACTGCCAGGAGCCACCCAGGGGCCCTGCATGTTACATATTTGCACAGAATCTCAAAAAATTTAGATCTTCTCAAGATTATGGGTGAGTTTTGGGCTGATAAACACCAGCTAACACATTTTTAAAGGTATTTTAAATAGCAATTAAAGTGTGCTCCCTAACACTTTTTTTAATTTTTTTTTTGCTAGCCTAAACAGGAGAGAAGGCCCTGTCCAAACTTGACAAGTCTATTTTTCCTGTGCCTGAAATTTTCATTTGTTTGAGTCACAACTAGATAGTCTGTCAGTGTTTCTCAAACTGGGGTCGCCTTTGTGTAGGGATAGCCCCTGGTGGGCCGGGCCGGTTTGTTTACCTGCCCTGTCCGCAGGTCCGGCCAATCGTGGCTCCCACTGGCCACGGTTTGCTGCTCCGGGTCAATGGGAGCTGCTGGAAGCGGCGTTGGCCAAGGGACGTACTGGCTGCCGCTTCCAGCAGCTCCCATTGGCCTGCAGCGGCGAACTGCAGCCAGTGGGAGCCGCGATCGCCCGGACCTGCGGACGGGGCAGGTAAACAAACCGGCCCGGCCCGCCAGGTGCTTTCCCTACACAAGCGGCGACCCCAGTTTGAGAAACACTGGTCTATGTCTACATTAAACGTTACATGCACCACAATGGCATAGCCACAGCGTTGCAGCTACGCCGCTGCAGTGTAGACGCTTCCTATATCGATGTAGTTAATGCATCTCTCTGAGGGGCAGTAGCTGGGTCAACTGAAGAATTTTTCTGTTGATCTTGCTGTGCCTACCCTTGGGGTAAGGGCGAC